CTGTGTACATCCATGGACACACGCAGCCCTGTGGCAGGCCACGCCCCTTCTCTCTGACCAACATTTTGATTGATGGCAGAATGAGAGCACGGCTCCTCTGCCATCAGTATCATCCCCTTGCAACCAGGAGTAGAGGGAACGGAGGATCACTCCGGGACCGGTGCAGGGAAGTCAGAATGCGGAAGTGATGTATATTACATCACTTCCGCATTCTTGTGTCACTCTCCAGCTTCAGATGCTGGAGAGAAGCTGATGAAGCAGATCTCTGCTTCATCAGGGTGGTCCTAGGTGACAATAGGGGTCTTGGAGACCCCTGTCTCCATAAAGAGGACCTGTCACATAAGCAGGTTTTCTTAGCCCCCTATGTGATAGCAATAAAGTTAAGTGGGGAAAAAAATAGAAAAAAAATGTAAGTTTCCCCACCAAAAATGTAAAGTTACAAATAAAAAAGAATTACATTTAAAAAAAAAGTCCCCCCCATACATACACGCATGCAAACAGGCGTCGGGTGCGCATAAGTGCGAAAACGACGATTTCACCCATTACGCCGCACATGTTACATATCGCCGCGAACGTCGGAATGAGAGCAATAGTTCTAGGGCTATCAATCACCGATAACACTAAACTGATGAGCTTTTAAAGCGTCGCCTATGGTCAATTTTGGGTATGGAAGTCTTTGCGAGTTCGCGCAATTTTAAAGCATGACATGTTTGGTGTCTATTTACCCGACGTGACCCCCCTCCTTTACCAAAAATATGGGTAATAATCATTGTTTCCTAATATAATGGGGAAAAAAAAACTTTTCCCCAAAATCTTCAGTAATTTTTCCTTAATATAGTAAAAAATAAAAACCCCAGTGGTGATTAAATACCATCAAAGTAAATAGTAACCATTTCATCTCTCATTGAGTCCAAAAGCCCCTTAAACACTCCAGCTGACTCTTTTGCAACTATTTTCTCTAAACAATCTTTGCACAAGGGTTTGGACCATGAAGCTGACATTTTTGCAAAGCAAGAGGCACACTTCTTCCCTTTTGGGCGAGAGCAACCAGCTTCAGCGAGGGGCTTATCCTCCGTGGCTTTGACCTGCGTCAAGAGTGACAAGAGTGATGCCATCAGCCAGTGCTCTGCCCGCATGCAAACCATGTTACACATAACACTACCCAGCTTGTCCTGTAAACAGGCCCCCAATACAAGCCAGGTAAAGGAAGGGGAGAATCTACAAAAGCAAACTCGCCTACCTTAGCGCCCGTGCCATGCTCTCCCAGATCTGGAG